ATATATGTATATCGGCTTTGATGTATATGTAATTTCCACCACTTTTATATTTAAGATAAATATGTGTGTGTATATATACAAACTAATATTTTCATCAGAAATATTCACTTATTTTAATGTTTAGTATTGTTTTGTTAATATATTAATATGTTTATATTTTCTTTTAGATCCATAATCCACCATAATAGTTTTTGGGTGAAAATATGTGATTTTTTTTTTCTTTTCCCAATAACACTTATAATTTTTCCATCACATTTTTCAAAGGTTAATTTGATTTTTTCTTCTTCAGTAGAGGTTTTTACTTGAGAAGTAAAAAGTATGCTCTAGAAATGAAATTTGAAAACTGATGATGCTGTCCATCATCAGTTCAATGGTAATTTTTGTATTACCAAAGTTTCACTGAATGTTCTTTTCATACCCTTTTATAAATTTTTAGAGAGTTAAACTATCCCCTAAAATTTTTCATTTTCCTTTCAAATATTTAAATCAATCATAAAAATATAGAGTCTACTTGATTTGTAATTCTGAAAGCAGTTCTTAAAAATTCAAAAAAATATAAAACTATTTTCAGAGAATAATCTCTTATAATTATCTAAAAACATGCATTTTTATAACTAAAATTTTATAAAATATTTTTGAGAAAACTGAACCGAGCTCTAATTTTTATGTACGGTTTTATATTTTCAATTTTTCAGATAACAAAATTTTTTTTTTCCGTAATTACAAACCGTGCAAAATTTCGTCCATTTCTTTTCACTCTTTTATCAAAATGGGGCAAACAGTCATAGAAAAATGTGTTTTGAAGAGTTGGTTTACTCCTATCAACTAAAAGAAAAGTAAATTTTAAGACCAACCAAACCAAACGATTGAATGGCCAAAAATAAACTGGGAGACTTTTTATACCAACCAAACGATTGAATGGCCAAAAACAAACTGGTTTTGGTTTTTACAGCCTCTTAAGCGACTTTCTATTCTTTCTTTTTCTTCTCTTATTTTCTCCTCTACTAGGGATGTCAATTTTTACTGCCCCGCCGAGGTCCCGTCCCTTCTCGCCCTGTTAATAATAAATATGGGAATACTTTCTATACCGTTGGAGCGGGCATGGATACAAATTTTGTACCCGTCGCGGGTTACAGGGTGGGTAAGAGTTCAGTATACATATCCTAGAGACCCGGCCCCGGCCCGCTAAGCATATAAACTTGGTATTAAATTTACTTTTGTTTTAGTTATGGTGGAAGTTGGAGCTTAGAATTTCTTGTGATTTGGTTGTATTAAACTTTTATTTTTGTTTATTATGTTCTCTGAATTATGTTATGTGCATGTTAGTTTTTTATTTGTGTTGGGATACATAATTTCATTTATGTTGTGCCATTCCCAGGCTTTCCACATTTTAAATAGCAGGAGACTTAAGTTTCAAAAAGTGGGAGAAAAAAATTTGTTAGCGGGGCGAGCACGGGGGCATAATATTTCCCAACGGGGCGGGACTGGACATGAAAATTCAACCCGTCACGGGTCTCGGGGTGAGCATGGACTTGACAAAAATTAAAAAGGGCGGGGCGGGATTTAGGGAAACCCGCTCCAACCCCACCAAGTTGCCATTCCTATCGGACCACTCTCTTTTCAAAACCGTATGAGATAAAGAAATAATCTTTTTTTATTAAATTTGTAAAAGAATAAATAAAATCATCAAACGAAAACAAATTAGAAAATTGAAATATATATATATTTTTAAAAAGTATTCATTGAAACTAGACATTTATTCAACTGAATTTTCATATAATATTTTTTTAAAAAAAATAAACTAAATGAGTTTTAAGCTATATTATGTTTTTATCTTCGTCCTGTAATAAAAAAATTATTTTTACAATTCTCTAAATCAAGTAGATTCTTTTCTTTTTCCTCTCTCTCTCTCTCTGTCTCTCTATCTATATTTCTTTTCCATCCCGTTGTCTTCTCCACAATGATGATAACAAGCAGCCAAAAGATGATGGTCACGAATATGTAAAAAAAATTTAAAAGGTATTCATTGAAATTAGATATTTATTCAACTGAATTTTCATATAATATTTTTTTAAAAAAAATTAACTAAATGAGTTTTAAGCTATACGGAGTGTTATCTTTTTATCTTCGTCCTGTAAAAAAAATATATATATATTCTTACAAATCTCAATCGAGTAGATTGTTTTCTTTTTCCTCTCTCTCTCTCTCTCTCAATCTTTTCCATCCCATTCTCTTCTCCAAAATGATGATAGCAAACAGCCAAAAGATGGTGGTCACGAGACAAGAACGTACCATAAATGTCCATTGTGCCAAACGCATGTTGCTTTACATTTTAAGACTTGGCCACCCCCTTCAGCACGTGGACACACTACCTGACGAGGGAGGCTTCTTTTAAGGTCCATTACTACACGAAAGGATGGCAATCGGGCCGGACGGAAATCTCATTCATCACTTTTATTCTCGGCAATATTTTTATCACTACTCCTATTTTCATTTTTGTTTAAAATTTTATCCTCATTTCCAAACACGCTCTTGCCCCGCCCCGCCCCGCCCCGCTCCGCTCCCAGAACTGATTAATGATTAGTTATATATCATAATATATAAGAATATTTAAATAAATATACACCCTAAACAGGGCAAAGCAGGCGGGTTTATCCTATTCCTATCTCGCTGGAGTTTCAAAAATTACCCATCCATATTTTCAATTATATAAAAAGGTTTCCGAACCCGCACTAAAGGAGGCATATGGACAAGGGATAGAGTAAAAAATGTGTATAACCAAAAATAAGCAAATATCAACCATTCTTAGGGACATCATCTATTATATAGTACAGGGACTTTGTCGACAGAGTTAATGTTATTTCATATATCATAAAATAATAAAATTTAGAATTCGATTAATGTTATCTTCAATAAAAAAAATAAAAAAATTAACTTAATGAAATAAACAAAATGTCTAAGTTGATAATGAAAGAAATTAACTTAATCATTGAAAATTAAAAGACAAATAATTACTTTTATATTAAGTTAAACAATTTTTCTAAACGGATGTCGTTTTCGTGTTAGAACACGCTCTCGCATTCATACTCACACTCACTCCATTCTAATTGACTTAAGCATTGTCGTTTCGCACTTTTCCTCCTATTCCCTCTTAATGTGAGTGGCTCGTATAATGAACTTGTACCGCAAAAGAAATGAATCCCTTTTTTATGCTACATTTGCCGCCTAGATTTTTCATATCTTAGGTTCCGAGTATAATATAAAAAGGACAGTACTTATGTCCTCACAATTTTTAGTGAGTGAGTATATAACTTACCATATGTTACTGGTTCACCTAAACTCTTAGAATGATGTACATTCTCATCAGTGACAACCTAAATATTGTCCATAAAAGAAAAATGACACCCAAAAAATAAAATTGAAATTAATAAATAGATTTATCTTTAGGGAAAAAAAAAAAAAAAAAAAAAAAAAAAAAAAAAAAAAAAAAACGTAGAGATTAACAAATATTATGGTATGTGCACCTATAGTGGCCGAAAATAATGAAACATAGATCAGAAATTAAAAAATAAAAAAACGTCACTACCATGACAGAAACTTTGCTTTTGTTTCGGAAGAAAACTGTTGATTGAATTGAATAAATCGTAGTGTCTTTTCTTTTCCTTTTTTAGTCATGACGTTGATTACAAACTATTGATTGTAATCCTTTCTAAATGTACACACGAAAGTCTTTGTTTTAGTGTGGAAAAAGTCCTCTAAAACTAATCATTGAATTTAGTAGATTTGAGTTGATTTTAAAGTTTAAATTAAATTCAATAAAAAACAAATTCTACTAGTACAAGCAATGCAACTTTCTGGACCAATACAATTTTGCCCTACTCAACCGACTTTATCGAGAAAGATTACTTTTTTTTAGGCCAAGAGGTTGATAGCGAGATCTCGAATCAACTTATTGGTCTTATGGTATATCTCAGTATCAAGGATGATACCAAAGATCTGTATTTGTTTACAAACTCTCCTGGCAGATGGGTAATACCCGGAATAGCTATTTTTGATACTATGCAATTTTTAATTCCACCATAACTCCACTTCTCTTTACCTCTTTACCACCAGTTGAATAGCTCTCTGGAATTCAATTCTAAAACCTACTTCAACTAATTTTCTTATTTTAAAACCAAATTTGGAAACTTTAAGTGTACTCGTCAGTGACGTAGTTGATAGAGCGTCTAGGTCCCCAGGTGGGGTGTTTCTCTGACATATATCGAGCTCCTTAAGCATGACATTTTTGAACATCGAACTCATGCCAAAATAAAATTACAACTCTATGAAATAATTTTGAATACAAAATATGTCAACACAAGATGTATGCTTTGTATAATTGGAGGGATGAAAGATTGGGAGAGGTGTGCGCCTCACATTTTGTTGGTCGGGGGTCGGGCGTGTTGGGCTGCATTCGGCCCAGCTCAGGAGGCCAATCTACATTTCCCAACCCTTCAAACACAAACCGTTACAGTATTTTGTTCACATAAGTTACCTAACAAATTCAAAGAAAAAGTAGCAACGTCGAATTAAAAAAATGAGAACGACACAAATAAATTGTTTTAAACAACCTTAAGAGTCAGAATAAGAATAAAATAATAATGGATATTTAAGTTGGTTTGGACTCCATTTCAAAATACTTATAATTCCTGGATTATATAATTTATTAAAACATATCAAAATAGTATCAATTTTTTAGTTGTTTCAGACTTCTGTTTCATAAACCATTTCAATACCTTTGGTTAAATCATAAGGATATTAATAACCATGCTACAAGGGCCAAATATAATACAACCCTAATCAATAACCTTCGATTCCCAGTAACTCAACTAAAATTTGATCATCTGTTTCAAAAATGCACAATATATACCGAATAAGTTCAAGGAATTACACGATAGATCATCTGTTAAACACAAACTCCCCAAACAAAGACGACAAAGAATGTGCTGCTCACTCGACAATAAAAATTAAAGATAGATAGATAGATAGACAGATCAAACATCAACCAACCCCTATGGAAATAAAAATAAATAAAATAAACTAAAATAAGTTACAGAAAATTGTGGCCACATATGACCTGCAGTCTAAAGCATCTAAAATTAGCCCTACATGGATGTGCTACAATTAATATTAGTAAGGAAGGAAAATAGGATAACATAGATAGATTTAGAGCAGGCATCCATAACACATCATAAAGCAGAAACTCGGCATTGCGTCCAAGGGAAGACAAGTTTAGGCACCACCACCTGCAACATGGACCGGACCATTGGATCTAAAACCACGACCCCTTCCACGATTTCCTCCACCTCGCCCACGGCCACGACCTACAAGGAGACCACATCATGATATAAATATCATACTAGCATAGAAGAGTCTGCACAGGTTACTAGAAGTCATGTGGCAAGTAACTTTAGCGTTTGTTTGCAGATAATATGAATAAAAGGATTCAAGAATTGCCATGTGGTCTGGTCAGGAAAAGACATTCTTTTATTGTTAATTTAATGCACAGGCAAACAAGCACACCGCGCAATATAAAAACTACATTAAGTTCCTTTAATAGACAATTTTCTGATTACACCAGGTGCAAACTACAATAAACCCCATCATGCTTCTTCCAGGTTTTTATGTCCCAATCAAGAATGAACAATTCAGAGTCCTACCAAGACATTAGAGAACTCATCAGGAATTGAGACTGTACAATGCAGTTTAGATCATGGACCAATTGTATAAGAGATGGACCCGATCATAACAACTCTAGATTGACCAAAGCCTAATTGACCTTCATCAGTTCATGTATATGTGACCCAAAACGAAACTGAAGCCATCTCAAAACTAAAAAAATCAACCCAGGGTCAAGGTTAAGGTTACTAAAATTCAACCACCAAATTAAAAGAGACCAGGGCGAAGCAATAAATGCAAAAACCTATTTCCACATGGGTCAGTTAATACTCAGGAAAACATAATGCAAACATATAAGCATTACCACGGCCTCGAACAGGTGCTTCCTGAATGTAACCTCCTGCATCTTGGTGGGTGTCAAACTGAGGGCCATTGTATCCTCTTCCATTACCACGGAAGTTACGACCTCTCCCTCGACCCCTGCCCCTAGCATAGCCACGATTTCTATCCCAGCCTCCATCCTCATACTCAGCAGATGCAAACCCGTTCCCTGAAATTAGGTGAAACTTCCAAATCATACAATGTTGTGACAAATTAATAACCAACAGCTTCATATTTCAATAATGCTCTCAAAAGCAATCATGATGGTCTCAAACCACTCCTCGGAAAATCTAGATTGAGATAATACCTCCATGCAATAAGTATGCAGCATCCTAATGCTTGCTATTCAAAAAAATATAATTTTCAAATAAAATATGCTTCAATAAGACTATGCAGCTCCATTTAGTACTGATGCATAGGAGCCATTCACCAATTTTCTTTTCTTTTCTTTTCTTTTCTTTTTTTTTTTTTTTCCCCCTAGTACACCCAATTTTCACGCAGTAAATGTATGTAGTTATGTACCACCCTCATGTCAACAGCAAACTAAGGAGATAAAAGCAAAAGGATGCAATCAAATATTATACCATATGGGACTCTAGGCCTTCCCCTCCCCCTACCACCACGCCCCCTACCTCGACCAGTAGGTGATCCCTCTGCACAAGAAGAAAATGTCAAGAAAAATGCCAATAAGAGTAATAATCTGAGTTCAAAAAGTGCAAAAATGATGAACTGTCCCCCCACCTCCGTCATAATCAAAATCCGTTGATGCCTTGACCAGTTCAGCTGGTAATGGAGGTTGGTACCTGCAACAGGTAGCAATGCAAGAGAGAAGAAACTTTAAATATCATGTATTTCATGAACAGTCACAAACTAGTATGAAATTATTTTCCACGTTCAGATCTACACAATTTTTTTTTTTTTTTTTTATCATTTAGCTCATTCTAAGGTCATACTCCACTTATCAGCTTGCACATTTGAGAAGATTAATCATATTAGGGGAGTCAAATTACTTATCAAAAGAAAAAAATTAGGGGAGTCAAATCATTGGAACTTTCCAGTAAACAACTTCCATAATTGACAGTTTATAGATATTTTCCACAAGAATAAACTCCAAAATGACAAAGATCCACCTTCCCAAATTTTTCGAAGATCCCAAATCTCAATATTCTTAAACAAGAAAAAGATAATTAGCATCATATACAACACAAGCATGATCTTCCAAACATCCAACAAGTCAAACAGGCATGAGAAAAGCTACTAGGACTGACTCACCCCACGGAAGATACATTCAGCTCCTTCTTTGAGAGAGTTATAGTAATCATTGAAACATGCCTTGTGGTTTCCAAACTGTAGCAGAGAACAATATCCATGTGAGAGCCACAATAAGAGAGGATGCAAAGTTTTTGCAACAGGAAACCTGACACAGTGCCTATCATGAAATTTTGGACAAAAAAATTTATCTTGTTCCATATAAGGCTCAGAGTGCTCTTACGGGAGGAGGCCTTCCTCCAGGGGCTCCCATGTATCAGTTATATCAGTGGAACCAATTGATGTCATTTGATGAAGACCAACAATCCTCCTCTGCATTACAGTTACAATGAGCGGATGCTTAATACATGATAATACAAGCCAAATAATTCGATGGAAGTTGAAAGTATAGAAATTTGTGGAGAAGAAAACCTTGATTAACTCCACAATTGTAACTGTTTTGTTGATAGCTCTACCCATTGCCTTGAAAACAATTTCTGTTGAACCTTTTTCCTACAAGAATTGCATCAAAAACAAGTAGGAGGAACTCAAGATATCAAATACTCTCCAACATAGAAATAATCATAATTAATTATCCAGATTACACATGTTTCATTATTCAAAAATTTATTAGAACAAAGAAATAATATTTTTCCTTGAGAGGGCAAGGAAAATCTAGTGTTCTTAAACACAGGACACAAGATGGCTGTTTGTTTTCGGATCCCAGGTGGCTATTTTTTCCATACCTAGACAAGTTCTAACTAGTTAGTATGGTAGCTCTCACGACACGAGCTTCAGGAAGTAAAAGTTTCCAAAAACAGACATTTAGAATCTCACACTTCTACAGAAGTGTATGTGGTATCATTAGTGATTTGTATGCATATATTTCCTGGAATTATATGCAAGGAGTTCCACACCACAGGAATGACTCCATATCACCAAAGCATCCGACTCTAGACAAGCCCAAAAAAAGGACATACAACAATCACCTATCAAGATATAAGGTAATTGGGGTAGGCAAGCTACTAAGACTAATACTTATGCATTGTTTTTACTGAACTTTCCAGATAGCCGCATACTATTTTCTATGTTAGTTTGTGATTCATTGAAAATTCTTGTTTTACAAAATCCATATCCTTTCTTTCCTCTCAACAAAGATGAAAGCTTTATCTATGCCCTCTCTTATTTTTCATCCTTATTTAAGATTGTACTTTCCTTACTCTTCTCTCCCAACTAATTTTATCGATTCCTCCTCCCAATTCCTTCCCCACCAGCTAATCCAAACAAATCCCAACAGTCTATAACATAATATATATCAAGTCATCAACTTGAATCAACCAAGATGACTGGTAGATCCTTCTCAACCAGACAATTATAGAATTGAGAAGTAAAGTCCATTCATTTAAAATGAGATATATTTTTTAACATTCACCAAACTAGGCATGAAAAGAAAAGAAAAAAACAAAGGAAAAAACAAAAATTCACATACGTTAAGGTTAAAAATCGAATCAAATTGAAGTAACATTGAATCACATGTTCATTGAGACAAATTGAAGTAATACCTGTAGCAGACTCATGGCATATGTGATATAGCTACGCATCCTTCCCTGACTTGTAATCCGAATCTCATTCTCATCAATTGGTGTACCCGCTCTCGGCTTCTCGACCCTCTGGTACCTATCCATCTTCTTCACCAAAACAAATCCAATACAACAAAAACAATGAGAACACCTCAACAAAATAAACTTGTAAACAAAAAATCGTAGCAAAAAACTGAAAAATATATCATAGTTATAAGAAGTGGCAACCAAAACCTACTAGGGTTTTCTGGGTCAACGATCGGATAGAGAAATCTAGGGTTTTGTTTGTTCGGTAAATTGCAGAGAAAAACTAGGGTTTCAATTGATCTGATTGTGGTATTTGTATTACCTTCTAGCGAGGATAAGATTGTAAGCTCCACGAAGGAAGAGCCCTCTTCTACGGCTTCGTTTCTTCGTTACGCCCTAACCGCCTTAGTGAAAGTTTTCTAGTATTTATAGCACCGGTTTCATTACTGCCCTAATACCCTATATTATCGGGTCGAACCGGTGGACCTAGGGCATGGGCCAATCTTACCCGGACGAGATTGCCCTCAGCCCTAATCTTCCAATAGGAAATTTTGAGTCTCTTTTTTTTTTTATATTTTTTTTTTATAAGAAGAAATTTAGAATTATGATAGCATTTTCATCCTTGGTCTTAGGGTATCTCCAATGGACTTTCCGAATTTGCCACATCAGTATTTTTTTATAGTCACGTCAGCATTTTAGAATCTCCAAAATTTATCTATCTTAAATTTTTAATAAATTTTATTTTTTAACTTTTTCTTAACGGCTATATTTTTAAAATGGCTATATCATAAAAAAAATTTAAACATGGAATTAAATTTGAGTAAAAAATATCATAAAAGATTAAGAAAATGACTTAGTGATTGTAATTGTAGGTCGAAAACTAGAGAAGATTGGTTGGATATGAGGTGAATAATAATAGGGGTTGATGTATTTATAGAGGAAAAATGAAAGTTTTTTTTTTTAATAAATATATATATATAATGAATTTTTTCAAAAAAAAAATTCAAAAAATAGGTTTTTGTGCCAATATAGCCGTTAAGGCATTGTTTGGGTCAGCCAAACAGTGCTTAAAACAGCTATATGTCAGTAGGAATATTTAAAAAAGCAAATTTTTAAAAAAAAAACACTTTTATCTATTTTTTTTTTAAACTTTTGTTGCCCAAAAAAGCCTTTAAGACACTGTTTGTGTCAACCAAACGGTGCCTTAACGGCTCTTCCGTTCAATTAATTTGAGGAAAAAAAAAAAGAAAAAAAAAAAGACCAAAATCAATCAAAAAACTAATTTTTTTTCTTTTTTTTTTTTTAGCCAAACAAACCTTCCCAAAACGCTAAAACACTATTTAGGTCAGAATTAAAAATAAAAAAAGAAACTTGATGCGGGCCCCCATGTCAGGCCCGCAATTCTCCAAACCAATCTTGATTTTTGGAGACTTGGATCAAGATTGTGTTAATGGGACCCACTTTTTAAAGATTCCATTGGAGCAGCCCACTCTTTAAAATTGGCCCAAAATTGCCAAACCAATCACCATTGGACTTGCTCTTAGGAGTTAGGGTTCGTTTGTTTTGATGAAAATTATGACAAGAAAAGAAAGGGAATGATTTGGAAGGATACCTTAAATTGTGTTTGTGTTAAAGAAACCAAGGGAAATAAAAGGATTTGGAAGGAGAATTCCGTGCTTAGTGAAATATATATATATTTTTTTAAAGCTCTATCTTGTCATCTTCTTTTTTAGAAATGTTATACCATTGAACTAGTCACCCATCAATTTTAAGTGAACAAAAATGAGGAAAATGATAAGAAAGTTATTAATTACATGCTCGGGTCTTTTTTATTAACAAATAATTCTACGTCTGTTTTGTAATGAGTAAAATATTATTGTCCTTATCAATCGCAAAATAAAACAATTCTTTCATTATGTTTTCTCCATTATTTTTTTCTTTTTTTCCCCTCTGATTTAAAACCCACCTAAATTGCATAAACATGGAGACAATATGACTCAGATATTTTAACGTGTTATAGATATAAGATACGAATATAATATGGACAAGACTATATGTAAATTGAAATTAAGTTTTTCAAGTTTTGAAGGTTCTTTAATCATTATTTAACATTATCTATAACAAATAGAGGAAGACCGCCAGTAAAATACATTTCCTTGAAAAATGTTGTGAATGTGGGATCCACCCATTGAATATTGTGGCGTAAGCTAAAGTCTTGGAGGTCAGGCAAAGTGGGGAGCACGAAATTGGACTTGTGGAGCAAGTAAAGGTTTTGTACAAATCTTATGTCTTGATCTGCCATGTGTGTTTGCTAAACAAATTTGAGATATATCAAAACAGAGCAATAAAACTTCTTTTAGTTCTCTTTTCAATCATTATTTCTTTTACTTTTCTTTGTGAATTATTTCTCCGATGTCTTAATATAATTAGAAGACGTTATCAGCATGAGCTCTAATCATTTGAGATTTGAACAAGAAACTATCTCTCCTTCTTTTTATCTCAACTCTATATATTTTTTTTGTGATATTAATTTTGATAGATTATTGAGTTTGTTTGTTTTACTGAAGAAAATTATATTTCTGATTTCAAAGGGTAAAAAAATCTTAATTATTGATTATTGTTCATGAATTAATTTATCCACTTAAGTGATATATGTGCTCACATTATGGCCGGTTTTACCGCCTTTATTATTTAATGATCTACTAACTATGGTCGGTTCCATTGCCTTTATTATTAAATGATCTACTACCTATGGTCGGTTCTACCTTCTTTATTATTTAATGATCTACTAACTATAGTCGGTACTACCACCTTTATTATTTAATAATTTACTAATTATGGTCGGTTTACTGCCTTTATTACTTAATTATTTATGGCCGGTTTTACCACCTTTATTGTTTAATAATTTATTCATTATGACTGGTTTTACTGTGTTTGTTGTTTAATTATACTGAACTTATAATAGTTCATATTATGTTGTTGTTTCACTTAATGCCATTTTATTATTAAGATATATGTTTATTTTTAGACTATACTAAATTGTATTCTTATATTGTTGTTACATTTAGTTATTCTGAAAATGTCAAACTTGACAAAGCTAGAATTTGTGGCCTTGGACATTTCTGACAAAAATTATTTATCTTGGATTCTGGACCCTCAAATCCATTTAGATGCCATGGGTCTTGGAAACACAATTAAAGAAGAGAGTGATGCATCATTACAAGATAAAACAAATGCCATGATTTTTCTTCGTCGCCATATTAGTAAAGAACTAAAAACTGAATATCTCACTGAAAGAAATCCCCTGAGTTTGTGGAAAAATTTGAGAGAAAGATATGATCATAAAAAAACAGTCATTCTCCCAAAAGCTCGGGCTGATTGGCAGCAACTGTGTAATGATCCTCATTTTTACCATTTTCTATTTTCTGGAATTTTCTGATTTTTTGAGGGTATTTTCGTCTTGTCTCGTTTTGCGTATCGAACACCGTGGGGTGTGCCGGATCTGTCAGAGTGTTGATTAGGACATTTCCTTGTGTTCACCACTCTTGGAAATACATCGGTTACTATTTCAGCATTTTTTATTTTTTAGGCCGGAAGGTCCCAAGTAGGATCCGCTACCGAGGTTGTTGAGTATAGGGGTTGAGTTACGGGTCCATTGCATTTCATGCACTATTATTTTGTGCATAATTATTTGGTTATGTGTTTAAATGAGTGGGTGTATTGTGTTTAGTGTATGTACACATATATATATACTATTAAATAATTTTTATTTATGCACATGGAACCCACAAGTAACTTTGGTCATTATAATCACCAATGGCCATTATCAGACCATTTCTCTCATCTCTCTCACTCTGCTTCTCTCTTTCTCCCTTTTTTTTCTTTTTATTTTTTTCACCAAATTCAAGCTCACATCCACACTCCATTATTGAGATTTAGACTTTGCCACTGAAGGCAAAGTCGACAAGCGCGTCGAGAACTCTGTTTTGATTGGAGCAATTTTTAGTTTGGAGCAATTTCTGATTTTCAAAAATTGGGTGCAATTTGGGGCTTTTTCTTCTAATTGAGGTAAGGGTGTCTAACCCACAATTTCCTTAATTATTGTGAGTAAATTAGTTGTTATTCATGTCAAAGCATGCTTAAGTGTAGGATAATTATGTTATTTGCTTTGGACAATCTCCTATGTGGTTAAATTCATTGTTCTCTTGATTTTAGTTAACGAATTCATGCCCTATTCTTGTTGAATCTTGCTTACTGTAATTCACTTATTGATGACATATCTTACCTTATGAATATGTCAACCTTCTTTGAAATGAATTTTGATTTAAATGTTGTGTTACTCCAGTTGAAACTAAATTTTTACTAGAACTTATCCTTTGAGACTAGTACATATCATAAAAAAAATTATGATTTTAGAGCTCGTGCATATTTTTCTAAAAATCCGGAAGTATCTGCTGTTTAGTTTCATGTCACTGCTGGAAAATGAAGTTTTGAGAAAATTGTTTAACTGATTTTCTCACGTAGAACAATTCTAAATATTTTATAGCAAGTTCTCGCATCAGTCTAGTATGGTTCTGTAATTTTTTATGATTTTAAACCATGTACTTAGTTTTATAAAAATTGGAGAGTAGTTGTTGTGTAGTTTCCAGTCACTGTTTGAAAACAGGTTTTGACAAAGTTGTTTGGCTGACTTCCTAATGTATAAAAATTCTCAAAATTTTATCCCAATTTCTAACACCAGTCTAGTGAGTTTCTACCAATTTTTATGATTTTAGACCATGTATTATGTTTTGTAAAAAATCAGACAGTAGTCGCTACTCAATTTTCTACCACAGTTTGAAAACAAATATTTATGAAATTATTTGGGTGACATCCCGATATCGAATGATTACAAAAAATTTTAGTTTTATACTCCCATGATTTAGCATTCAAAATTAATTGTATTTCCCACATTCCGGTGTTGGATGAATTTTCTATAAATTTTCTTCAAAGTTGCCCAGATTTTCTTCTAGTTGAGGATTATTGCTTTACTTGTAAAATCTGAATTCATTGGAAATGCTTAAGCTATTGGGAGTGAATTTTTCATATTATTTTCTGACTTTAGATTCCAAAGAATTTTGGTTTGCCTCTTTTCGTTTTAAAATGAATTATCTATGAATTATTTTGTGAGGACTCTTTAGATATTGTGAAAATTATGTGAATTGTATGAAATAATGTTCACAATTATTGTTTATGCTTGTATGCTTGCTAAATTTATAGAATCATACTTAAATTCTAAAATTGGGACATTATATAGCCATGTTCATTTATCACATATGCATGGTATGGGTGTGTGTGTCGTGGTTTGTGTGCTGAGCCCATTTCATTCATGGCATTCACATTGGCATGGTGTGGTTGGTTTAGGTTGGTTAA